CAGGCCATCATTGCCCAGGGCGTCGCGTCGCCTCGTCAAATGAAACGACGGTCACTGTCATAACTTCGCGTGCTCTGAATGCGCTGTCAGGCCGTTTCATCTTTCGAGATCAAACCTCCGTTTTGAGCTCCAGTGCTAGTATAAAAACACAAACTCCTTCGTGTCTTCCTTCACACTCCTAGGCTTCCTGAACTCGTTTTTTTTTTCTTTGAAGTTTCATACTGTCCTTCCCCAGTTACTTCCCCCTCGTTCCCCAAACTTAACATTATCATCCAGCGAGCCTCTTTCTTGCTCCAATCGTTCTGGAACACGCTTTCCATTTATAGCATCCACAGCACAGTTCGAAGTACTACATGCCGTTTTCTTTTGGACGTTAGTGTTCACTTTTTCACCGTCTTTAATATGCAGTGCCTTCTTCTAGCAGAAGGCAGAAGCTAGAAGCAACAGAAAGCAGTGAGTTTGCTTTATTTAGAAGAAAGCCTCCCAAAATGGGCAAAAGGGCTTTTGGCTTAAAGGCCCCCAAGTTTACATCTTTCTTTTGAGCAAACTTCAAGTAATTTTGAAATGATAATGCCACCCCAAGTCCGCATCTTTCTTTTGTTTTGTTTTTGGTTTCTGCTAAAATGATTTAACATATTTGATTGCGAATTTTAATCTCGTAATTAGACAAAGCCATGATCATTAAGTTTGCGATTAACAATCTCAAAACATCGCACCTCGGCATGTCAAATTATGGTAAGAAAACATATTTCCTCTTAAGTTCAAAAGTACATTGAAAAAAACGTAGTGTAGTCTGCTAATGATTGTAAAGCAAAATAAAGTTTTGGCTCACCAAGCCACTGGTTACAAGTAATTTCTTGAACACAACTAAGAAATGAAAAACGAAGGAGCAGCCCGAGTCAGAAATCATTCCCCAACTACAGCTCGTCATCTTTAGGTTTCGATCCTCTTCCCAAAATTTCAATGAGCTCCGTGTCAAATATCAGTGTTGCGCCTCCTGTAACGTTCAAGGAACAATCATTTGAGATTCTGAACTATATTTTATCTATAAGCATCATTGTCTGTAAAGACAATTATGTAGATCTTGCCATCCTGAGTTTTCATATGCATTCACTCTAATCGTTTCATTGCTTTTACACATATATGGTTCACACTAAATAGAGGCACAGCCAGTAGAGAATTGAGTACAGTGATGCAGAAGAGAATTGGTTCACACTAACCTGGGATGGTTGGTGGAGAACCCTGCTCTCCATAGCCAAGCTTTGCCGGAATTTTCAACTTCCTCTTCTCACCTACGCACATTCCCAGAATTCCTTGGTCCCATCCTGTAAGAAAAATTTTGTTCAGGCAAACCAACAGTAAGAGTAGAGTACAGTGAACTTGCACTGTGTAAGCTACATGTAATATTCAAGTAAATTGCTACCCATGGCATCGCATCCAGGATGCAGCATACCCATCATGCTTGATGTTTGCCATAATCACATGGAAGTTGACACAATAGATAAAACTCTCTCTCTCTCTCTCTCTCTCTCTCTCTCATCAAGGACAATCTAGAAACATTCTTACATATTCCCAGCATTAATTAAAAATTGAATAAAATACAAGCTACACAACGTGAACATAAAGTACAATAAAAAACAGTCATAGAAAACCCATCGTTAATTACAAATTAGGGGAAGCAGCTTTAAAGAGTATTGACAAGCTGAAAACCCAGTAAACTCTTATGGCCAGTAGAAACGACTATTAAAAGTGAATCAATATACTTATACTAAAAAACAGGATTATCTGAAACTGATTACTAATAAAGCATAATCAAATGCTTCCTATATGAACCATTGTCAAAAGTACGGGTTTGCCTCTGCTCTGCATTCCAACTATTTGGTATTTGTAATAAGAAAATTACGCAAGAATATGTAATTGAGTTAAATAGCACACCACACACCTTTAATAACTTGACCAGTCCCAAGCTCAAAAAGGATTGGATCGCCCCTTTCAAAACTAGAATCAAATACAGTTCCATCAGTGAGTTTCCCCTGCAAAGGTCAAAGAAGAGAAACTAGTCAATCAATCTTCACTATAGGATGAGAGATTGGCTCATTCATCTAATGTATAGTGAGCCAACGAGAATAATGCGGGTAGAATTTAGATATTGAATACATTAAACCACTACCAAAATAGATACTGAAAACGGAAAGTTTAATGTCAAAGTGCACTATGTCACATCCAATCTGCCAGAACATGGGAGGACATGCTGAACATTTTCAAGAGGTCTTGATGAGGACTGTTATTAGTTCCTCCCAAATGCCTAGCTCATATTGAAGAAGCCTTTGGGATTAATAAGCTGACCACAGTGGGGAATGGAAATTTGACTGACAATAAACATTGGGGGAAAAAATACCAAATTAAGGGCCAAAATGTACATATACATCAGTCTCATAAGAGCTTCAAGGATGTAACCAGATGCTATTAGGTTTCACTGAGTATGCTCCATTGTAATCAAAACATACAAAAAGACATACAAGCCCGGGAGTAACAAATATTTAGGCAGCATAATCTATAAAAATAGACCCAAGGAATGATGAAATAACAATAGAGTTGTTAGGATGCTTAATCAATGCTTCAAATTTCTTCGAAACTGGAAAGCACTCTCATTTCAAAAGTTCGTCAACCATACTACTAGATTTTCAGCTCGGGTAACAATGTGGTGATTTAAAAGCATATGAACTCAAGGCTTGAACTTGTCAAGAAAAACAAAAATTATGCTAATCAAATTTTATTTATGACATGTTTATCTGAATCCGAGTACAATTAACTTCAGTATTTAACGCATATATCTACTAACATACACTATTTAAAAGCATATGTTTCAGGAATTCTGCTCACCCGATAGTGTACCCTGACTTTATCACCTTTGCGAGCTTGAAGTTCACAAGCTTCTGGCTTATACTGCAACATAAAGGTAAATTATCAATAAAGAGGAATTGAGGATAGTTCCATATAACTCTATCAAACCCCTCTTTGTTTAAACGATCCATACACAAGAAACAACAACAATGTCAACAGATGCCAAGGAGTCAGCCAAATTAAAACCAAAAAGACAAGCAGTATCACAGGACACCCCAAGCCTTCTAAAACTACCCAAACTAAGCCAATCAATGAAAATAACTGAAGTGATAAATACCCAAAAGTCCTAAACAATTATAATATCCAAAAAGATAATAAATTGCAATGACCCATTAAGTAAGAAACTTACAACTCGACCAAGCAGCTGATCCACACACATATATAACTACAAATCAACCAACTCCAGCAGCTACCTTTTAACATATTTATAAATTTGTTCACAATTTCACAATCAAAACAGCGTTTTGGATCGCAACTTCGACTAGTAAAGAGATAGATGAACAAAATGAAAAGCGTAATTCACCTTAACACCAATCTGCAACTCTTTGACTTCCTTCACCTTGTAGGCCAAAACTGGATTTTGAAAAAGAAAAAAGAACAAGAAGTCAGCAATGAAATTGAAATATTATGAATACAATCAGGAATTAACGATGTTTCCGTGAATGATGACGAGACCTACCAAAGCCGGAGAGAGACAAGAAGAAGAGAACGGCGACGGCCTTCATTGCAACAACGGAACCCATATTTGCGATCTCTCCGTCTCAGTGTCTCGAGTGTTTTTGGTGGGTGTCGATTTTATGGGCTCTCAAATCCTGCTCCTATTGGTCATGAACACGTCGATGTAATTCTCTTGCCTTACGTGGCAGTCAACGAAATGCACATCCATTTTTGGTCTACAACATTGCACCTTTGAATCCATTGAGCAAATGTTGTAATTTTTTTTCCTTCTCCAATTACATCCAATTACATATAGAACCTCTTTGTGTAATTTAATAAATTTTGTCCGAATATTTTTATGGCAAAATTTTAACGAGATCACACATTATTAGGATCCAGTTTTATGTTGAATTGTATTTATGGGGTCTTTTTTTTCTGGCAGCTACAAATGGGCTGGGCCGCCGTAAGGAGCAAACTGATGAAATTATCCCCCTATGTCTGAGTTCGAAGATCAAGCCCCAAGAATGTCTCGAAAGGGTAGTGAAGCCTTAGGAAACTCCTTGGTTATCTTCACCAACAAAATTAACAACAATTTACAGATAAATTTTCTACTTGGCATGAGAGACTTGTGGCATGGGAGCAAAGTTGCCATGAGTTTAGCACTAAAGAGAAAATTAAGTGTTCCTAGGGGAAAGATGGGGTATTAAGGTAGGAGAGAAAGGGTTTTGCAGAGAGGTTTGGTTGAGAATGAGGGAAAGAGAGAAGAAGATGGCTTGAGTGCTTTTTCCGGCAGCTTGACAGAGACTGTCAAGTGTCAGAACAGCTTGCCAAGAGGGAAAACTAAGGAAAAAGGATGGGCTGAGCACGAAATTGCTGGGTTTTTGGAGTAAGAGAGGAAGCTTGCTCTCTGGATGTGGTTGATTCTCGTTGGGTGGAAGAGGCCCTATTTATAGCCACTGGAAGTCATCTGTTTTCAAGAAACCCTAATGACTTCCCTCCTATTTTGCCAAACTTTTCCCTTCCTTTCTCTCCTCATCCTTTCAATCATCTTCTTGTGGTGAAATTTACTCTGCTCCTTTGCATAAAATCAGGGATTTTGGGAGCTCAAGGCGCCCTTTCCCGCGGCTGCCTCTGAAGAATGCCTATTTTCAGATATCTCTTTTCTCCCCTTTCCTCTTCTTTGCATGGCCAGATCTGATGGAGAAAGGCAACGGGTATGTATGTTGGTTCAAAGGATGGCATCTTCCCCTTAGCGCCACTATCCCTTGGTCCTTCGGATGTTTCAGCTTGGAACTTGTTCCCTTGCCTGCGCTGGAGCCTTCCAGCAATTCTGCACATGTGATCCTCCTAGCCCCTTCGTGGTTTTCTACTTCAACCAAGTGCTGGAGCTTTGCAGCTCTTCTATTGTAATTGTATGGGCCAAGTTGGTTTATGGAGTAAGTGGGCTATCTCTTTCAAGCATTGGGCTTTTTTTGGTTGAGTCAATAGGCTATTTTGGTTGGGCTATTTTGGTTAGGATATTTTGGTTGGGATATTTTCTCTTTGTGCTCACCCACATGTTTGGGCCTAAGAAATGGGCCTGAGTTCCGAGGCTCTCAAGCAACCCCGGGATTGTGAACTCCGTGTAGCCCTGATCCAATTGACTCGGTAGGCTCCCAAGTATACTTCTAAATCTTAATTTCTAAACTAAAAATAACTTAAATGATACTACACGGAGGCAAGTTATTTTTCTAAAGATACTACAAGTAAGGAGTTCGTAATTTGAAGTTTCTTTCAATATAAGATGGTTGAAAGTAGCCAATATCATGAATTGGTACATATGATTAATCTACTCAAAGAAAAGGGGCTGCACATGGATACAAGAATCACCGTTTTTGCTATGATTGTAAAACTTCCTTCCACTTGGGAATTTTTTATGTTAAGTCTAAAGCACAAGGTAAATGACCATAAAGCAATTGGGTGAACATCTCTCTACGGAGGAAGAGTATATCCTAACCAACATTTCCTTCTTTTATTTTTAGGAAGGCGAAATACCCTGGCGAAACGCTGCGTTTCAGCTTCTGCAAACAAGTGCCAGGGCTGAGAGAAGGGCTCCTTCGGCCAGCTCATGGCCGAGATTTATCAGGCACAAACATTGCCCCCACATCCCTGGATTCTTCAGCCTCGGCATGGGTAGGGGGCGAATGGATTCCAAGGGATGGACCCTTTGCATTCCTTTCTGAAGTAATTGACAACTGGGGCATTAAATGCGCAGGCCAGTCGGCGCATTCCGCGCATTTAATGCCTCAAGCACGTCGCGCAGGCCATCATTGCCC